CACACCCACACCCACACCCTGTCGTCTCATTCGATTTCATTTCTCTCGAACTTTATTCTTGCCGTCAGTCAGACAAGTAACAGAGATTATTTATTCAAGTTGTCAATGTTTTCTTTCATGAGATCAAATAGTGACGATTCCTTATTATAGTTCATGCGTTGTACCATCAGTTCTTTTTGTGTCTGATATTAGCTTTCGTTCATTTTTCTTTCGTTAAATTAATGTGCTCATGTAGCAATACCGTCTCTAGCACTTTCTACTAAATTTTGTTCTATTCAACAAAATTTTATCTCTTCAGTCAGACCAAGTCAAGAAAATATCCCGATGTATTGCTAGTTTAAGATCTTTATTACTTTGAAGACTATGGACAATGAGAGAGAAACGACTGTAGAGTAGAAAAGGCGAAAGAACTTCTAGAACAGTACGAATTCGTTTTTATCAAAACCAAGAAAAAGCAAAATATTCGGTGAAATAAGATATACTCCATCTTTCTTTTGGCAATAGTATCTGAAAGAGTGATGGTTCAATCTACCAGTTTCCTTAACACTGTAGAAACTTTTAAGCTATGATGTGAAGAGGTTGATTGCTTATTTAGATTTTTACGGATTAAGTTTTTCTCTATCACCAAAATCTTAAATATTGAACATGGCCACAAATGGGACAAAAAAAAGAAATGCACAACGTTTTGCACGCATCTCTGATATCACCAAGGAGCCTCATGAAATGTTGATGCCAATCAGTGGCTACGAAAACGAGCCACTTGTTTCACTGGAGACAGCTGTGCAACCACTAATTCCGCTTCTACCAACGATTCAGAGATATGTCGACACTTCCAAAGAACGATGCAAAAATCCTGCTGATAATTTAACACAAGATGAATCAGCTTCGCTTATGCTTTACTCCATGGAATTGAAACCAGCGAGCAAGTCTCTCTATGTCGTTCTCAATGAAACTCTTCGATCAAAAGATCGACAAAATCTGAAACCATGGTTTTCTTATTTGAAATTATTTCTCACTGCACTTTCTCGTCTCCCATCCGAACGTCAATTTGTCTATCGAGGAGTGAAATTAGATCTAAGTGAAAAATATCCAATCGGTGAAAATGTTGTATGGTGGGGTTTCTCTTCCTGTACTGTTTCAATCAATGTTTTACAATCTGAAAACTTCTTGGGCAACAAGGGCGAACGAACAATTTTCAACATCGATTGTTATTCGGGAAAAAATATTCAAAAGCATTCGTATTATCCAACAGAAGATGAAGTGCTTCTCCTAGCTGCTACTCAGTTCAAAATTGTCGGCTGTCTTGATAATGGTGGTGGTTCCCACACGATTCACCTCAAAGAAATTGAACCACCTTTTCCTTTGTTACAACCAGTGATGCCAGTGATAAATGAGGCCAGTTCAAGCGAAACTCAGTCATCTTCTCCTCTATTAGAACCAGTGATGTTCAACTCGAATCCCGAACCACCTTCGCCTGGTAAGTCAGATGAAATTTTCTCGCACTAATGTCTAAATTCTTAACCAGCGAGAATTGAGCTTAGCTCAAGTAGAATTAAGACATTAAAGACAGAAATGCAGAAAACTATCATAAATCCTGTTCGCCACCAAACTATCCATTTCAGCAGATTCTAGAAGAAATGACAGACAATTAAATGACAATTCGACAGAAAATGGAATTCTTCCTCTCTCTTCCCTCCTGGAGATATAGTCATTTCCAGGGGATTATAGCAGAACCGATCGAGAATTGAATGAGAAATGAGGTAGAATTTAGCGAGAATTCAGCAAGAAATGAGTAAAAATTGAATGATCAAGAGAAACGCCTACTGTCTCATCCCTCTACATATACTAAACCCGAAATTTCGCTTCAGTTATCGAAAAGCTTATCTGTGAAAATCCGATATCCAGATATTCAGAAATTCACATAAAAGAGATCGCTAGACATGCACAAAATGCATACTATTTGATATTGAACGTTTGACGTTGGAACTCGATTTGAGCTCAATCTCAAAGTTCTAGTTCAAGCTCAGTTCAGTAGAAGATCGGTATTGAATTGAATTACAAGTAACTTTGGTTTAATCTTATACGGAATTCAACGTTCGAGGCTAGAGTTCGAACTCGAACTTTGATATTACTCTTGAGCTGTAATACTTGAGCTTCAATTGTGGCATCAGACTTAAATCGAGCTCGATCTCCACCAGGTTTGTACCAAAGCTTATAGGTGACACCGGTATAGATTTTTGATGACTGGTACTTGCACTAGTGTAAGTAGATCACATTGGACTAGACCAGTCGGTCCACCAGTTCGACCAGCAAAAAAACCGTTCTATCGATCACATCAATAATACCGATAAATTCGTAGACTGGAGTGTCGAATAACTATCTCTGATACAGTAGATGACACAAGTATTTCTCCACGTGTTAAATTTTATTTATGTTTGAACAAAATACAATAACCCTTATATATAGAGTTGAATAGACCAAAGAAAGAAACAAAGGAAATGGAAGGCGGAAAAATTTTATTTGCAATATTTCTCTAGTTTTATTGTGTTGTGTATTTTTGCATCCATTAGAGATCAATGTTATTTAATGTTTGCTATGTATAGTACAAACGCTGTGTATATTGCCGATGGTAGTGAATGAAATTATTGTTATCTGCTTTATTATGGAAAAAGAATACAAATAATCTCAATTTTTTGAAAATCGAAAAAAAAAGGACTAATTCGAAAAAGTTTTAATCATTTTATACGAAAATCAAGCAAAATGCTCTTAGACTTGTTGTTAGATTAATTAATGATTGCTTCATGTATCACTTACCAAGGGAAAAAAATATTTGTCATTTGTAATTAGTCGTTTGTGTGATCTTCAAAAACTGGAGATTATTTGTATTCTTTTTCCATAATAAAGCAGACAACAATAATTTAATTCACTATGCCATGAGCAATATAGACAGCTGTTGTACTATACGTAGCAAGCATTAAATAACGTTGATCTCTAATGGATGTAAAAATACACAACACAAGAAAACAAGAAAAATATTGCAAATAAAATTTTTCAGCCTTCCATTTCCTTTGTTTCTTTCTTTCGTCTATTTAATTCTCTATATATAAGAGTTATTGTATTAGTTCGATCGGTAGAAAACCGTTCGATTTGTTTTTATCGGTTGGTCCAAACACTGAACTGATAACGGAACGAAAAGGACCGACTGATAGCCAGTATTGGTTCCATCTCTGCCAAAGCTCGAATCGAACATTGACGTCTGATGCATATCTAGAGGATGCATCATCAAGTGAAAGTGTCACGAAATGTTCACTGCCGAGATTTTTTCAGATTCATCCCAGTCCAGTCTAGCCTATAGGCCAAATTTTTTGAAAATTAATACCACGGGATGGGCTCGACTACTGCTTCTTTGCGATCTGCACTCATGGTCTAAGAGCTCTGACCCATGGATCGGAAAAGATGGATTAGTGAGAGCATCTTTCTTTTTCTCGCATCATCTTTCCTACTTTTTTACTTGTTATTTATGTTATTTAGTGACCCAGTATTTGTGCTCGAAGAACAAGAGCTTTTTTGTATCCTGCTTTTATTCTCTTCTTGAAACGATTCTCGTTTCAGGAGAGCAGTGTTCTCATTCCTTTTGCTTCATTGGTTTTTGTCTGTTTGTGTGAAAAAGTCATGTTTTTTCTTTAAAAACTCATATGAACTAACTATGAATAAACTTGTGGGATGATGTAAGTCATGATGAAAAGTAGCCTCGATCAGCAGGGAAACAAGGATGTACCATACATAGACTGGACCAGTAAAAACGAGATGACCCATGTGTCAATTTTTTTCTAGCCCAGCCGATGGGTAGCCCCTAATCTGAATGTATGTTTGCGTGTAAGTCACGATCTTGCTTACTGAAAACTTCGTGAGACTCTCACTTGGTGATGCGGCCTCTGATATAAATATATGACTTTTTATTTATAGCCTAATGAAACGCAATACATAAAAAACATACTGAATATACCATTTTTAATTTGGTGTCCGACACAACTGTCAATTCTTTCTCAATTCTGTACGAATTTCCTGCTTTTCATGATTTCCTCCGAAGAAGAGACAAGAAGAATTTCCATTTTTTCGTATAATTCTCAGTCAATTTTTGCTTACTTCTTATTCATTTCTCGGTCAACTTTGCTAGAATCTACTAAAATGTATAGTTTGATGGTAAATAAGGTTCATGATTGTTTTCTACGTTTATTGGTTTAATGTTTCAAACCGCTTGAACTGATGTCAAATTCCAGTTGCTGAGAATTTTCACCGTCCTCTCTTTTTCTTGCTTAGATGTATCTGATAAAAATGAAGATATCACTTCTCCACACCCGTAAGTAATTCCACATTTTTATCAATAATGATTGATTGTCTTTCAGTGTTTTAAAACCAACGACGAGGAGACGATGTTTGAAAACGAAAATATGGATTCCTACAATTTGTTGTTTAGCTATGGTGGTTATTTTGGTGACTATCATTGTATCACGCTTATTGAATAACCAAAAACCACCACCCTCGACCACGCCGAACAATAATGGTAACATAAGGAACATGCTAAGCATGATTGTATCTGCTCCAAGTTGAGACGAACGATCGAACGGATGAAAACGCATTTTGAGCACGTTTCGAACGCTTTTGATACCGTTTGACCACTTAGATCACGTTTAGATTGTTATAACGATCTAAACGCGATCTGAACAGGTGAATCGTATTTTAAACGCATTCAAAACACGGTCTTTCTGAGTTCATACTGACAATAAATGTCCAAGAGATACAACAAATCTATGTGAGTCAAAATTGTTCCTTGAAAAAAGAAATCGGCATCAGTTTAAATTTTCTAACCGATGTGTTTAAACGGTAACAAACATTTACCTGCGACTCAATAGGATGAAAATGTGAGCCGTCGTTAGAAAAGCGTTGAAAACAGTTTTCTTCTTATTTTCAAGATGGAGTAAGTAATTAAAAGTAGACTTTCTTTTCAAGCATTCAAAATTATGAAAAAGGTCTTTAAGATTCAACACATATATATATGTTTATGAAAATCAATGCAAGTTGTTTATCATGCTATGATTTGTATGTCTAAAATGTAGAACAGATGAATGTTAGCAATTGTAATTGCACGTAATCTTCTCCATATATTTGAATCAAATCAGAATTATTCTCGGTCTAGTAGAGCCAATACAATGAATAAAACGCGTTTTTGAGCGCCAGAATAACGCACAATCTGATCTTCAGGCTGAGTTCTTCTTCAGAAGAAATCGAATCTTTCATGGCTACGATAGAGTTTTGTACAGTTGCTATCTCGATATAAAAAATGTTTTTCAGAACATGAATATCGACGAGAAAATGTGTCGAGTACATTGGATGAGGCATGTATAGATTTCCAAAACCAATAAGTAATCGCAATTTTTATAATTGGTTTCAAATTAAAAAAAAAATTTTTCTAACGATTATTGAATCGAATATGAAAGCAAACCTAGACTTCCAGATACCTACTATTCACTATTCAGGCTAATTCGAACACTTTTAATCTTTTTCTTAAATGTTAAAGAAACCCTTAAAGTTTAATATTAAAGATTAAGTTCTCTGTTACCCTTAAATATTAAATTATCGTCAAAGATTCGCCTAACTACCAGATGAAAATGAAACTAATCACACAAAAGGCGCATCGTTTATGTTCTTTCAACAGAACAACTCGTTGATGTTCAAATATGTATCGAAGAAATCATTCATGCACACCAAACATCCAAGAGAAATCTTTTTCGACCAGATTATCACAAACGAAATTAATGCAACACGTCTTTTTGGTAGATATTTTCAATCATGGTTAACTACAAAAAACAAAAGATCATCAGAAAATTGTTTTATTTATAGAACTTTGTAGAACTCGTAAAACTGATTATTTTCGTAAAAAAAACCTTTAGATTTTCTCAAAAAATGATGGTGATACGTTCAAAATCCTCAAAAGCGTCAATTGTTTCTCGGCACAAATCAAGAATAGGCTGAAGATGTTGAAAATTTTTTATCGGATCACCATCATTTTTTGAAGAAAAAGTTTTTTTTACAAAAATGATCAGCTTTACAAGTTCTGTAAAGTTCTATAAATAAAACTACTTAGTTTACCATCATTGAAAATATCCACCAAAAATATGTGTTGCGTTAATTTTGTCTGTGATAGAGAGCTCGGTGGTTCATCTCGAAATTGAATCTGAGAAGAATAAAGAAAAGATTGAACGTTTGACTTTGTCACCAATCGAATCGAATCAAATCGAACTTGCCATAGAGAACTTAGATACAAAAACTCGACTTGTGTTGATTCGTGACGCATCAATGGCTCTTTGCCTTCGTCGTTATCGTCTCAATACTAATCGATATTGAAAGTCTCTTATTCACTCGATCCAGTCAATATGACTTTTCTTTCGTCGGAATTCTTCTCATTATACTTCGATCTTTGATCAAAATTCGCGACTACACTTTGAAATTTCGGCGCTTTTTCTGCACCTTTCGATTCGAGAGTGTTGCCATGAAAAGCTTACCGCTTCGATGCACTTTGAATAAAACATCTCGATCGACCATATGCGACACTTTCTTGACAATGAAGACTTTTCAACTTTCTCTCATCCTTCAAGTCTTTTCGACTCGCTCGAATCAGAGTCAATCGACACCGAATCTTTTCATTTACACCTTTATCATTTTGTTTCTCTTTCATTGTAGTATCGCCTCAGATTTCTCCCAATACCAAATGGAATCAGAAGGGTATCATTGTAGCTGGGGGAAATGGAGAAGGCAAGGAGCTCAATCAACTCTTTAATCCATACGGTTTGTATGTCGATTATGATCAAACTCTGTACATCGCTGACTGGTTCAATAACCGTGTTATGGAATGGAAGTTTGGTGCGACTTATGGCCAAGTGGTGGCCAATGGAAATGGAGAAGAAAACAAGAATGATCAGTTGTCTGGTCCAACAGATGTGATTGTTGACAAGCAAACAGATAGTCTCATCATCTGTGATTGGGGAAACCGACGAGTAGTACGATGGCCTCGTCGAGATGACACAAGTGCACAAACGATCATCGAGAATGTTCTCTGCTACGGTTTGGCGATGGACTACGAGGGATTTCTCTACGTTTCTGACGAGGAAAAGGACGAAGTGAGACGATGGCGAGTGGGCGAAAAGAGTGGAACGTTAGTGGCAGGTGGCAACGGACGTGGTCAAGGTCTCAATCAACTCAATTCTTCTGCATATATCTTTGTCGATCAAAATCATTCAGTATATGTGTCAGACTCCAACAATCATCGTGTGATGAAGTGGATGAAAGGCGCGAAAGAAGGCATAGTCGTGGCCGGTGGTCAAGGCGATGGGAGTGCTCTGACACAATTATTTCGTCCCCAAGGAGTAGTCGTCGATCAATCAGGCACTGTCTACGTGGCTGACAGCTGGAATCATCGAATAATGCGTTGGCCTCTCGGAGCCAGGCAGGGAAATATCTGTGTTGGTGAAAATGATTATGGAGATCAGTTGAACCAGCTGATTACTCCCTACGATTTGTCATTCGATCGTCAGGGGAATCTCTATGTCGTCGAGTACTTGAACAATCGAGTGCAAAGATTCTCAATCGCTACTTTTTGATTGTTTGTGTTCGATGATGTTGTCTATTCTGATTTGAGCTGATGATCTTCAATTAATGGCACGGATCATCTTTCAAACAAACTTTTGCTTCAATAATCAATAACAGAATCTTTTTCTGAATTATTTTCTCTCCACGAAAATTTCACACAAATACAGTGGTTCTCTCATATCTCGATTTTCATGTGTTCGATGTCTTGAGGACTGTTTTTTTTTGTTCGAAATCTGATCTTATCTCGATATCAAGGAAGATTTTATCATCGACACATAATGTGACGCTATTCGAGATCACCTTTACACAGAGCAATCTTCTCATACGAACAGTGTTTTCAGTTCAAATACGAATTAAAAGCAATGCTCACTGAATTTCTGCTCTATATGTTATTTCGAAGGTTTTGTAAGTGAGCAAGATGAAGCTGAGATTATCGGTGAGAGATTGCAGTGAGATTTGTTTCATTGAGATAAATAATGTTTCTTTCTAGCTGTGGAGAAGTTGATCAATAGTCATCATGCGAAGTGAAAGATGTCGACTTCTGACCGAATTAGTACTTCTTAGTGATAAGGAGTTTGTTGTTGGCATATCCCACATGACAATATTCTATTTGAAACACGTTACTTTATTTTACAAATAGTTTCTTCTCAGATGAATCTTCCAATCCAGAGGAATACTGTGGAAAGATTTCGAACATTCTTTGAGAAAACTTTCCTTCGATTGAAAGAGTTTTGACCACGAACTATTAGATCAATTCGACTGAGCAGACTGCACTTCATCGTTCACATCACAGGAATATCAACTTTTTGATTTGTTCATTAAAATGCCTTTGGAAAATATTCTGAGAAAAACTCGTTGAACTGATGCTTTTCAGATAAAATCTTGAATAGATCTTTCGAAGTGAAAATCAAACGAATGAAAATCTTTGTTAGAAGTTGTAGTTGATCTGTGAGACTTTTGGAAAAAGACAGTCTTTCGAATACCAACATGTCGTCGAAATCAGATTCTTCTCTTCTCAATGAATGAAATTCAATACAAACCTGCGATCAATCACCCGTTTTTCATCAATGAAGGACGACTGTTTATTCAAAACGTCGATTCATAGTAGACTACGATTTCTTATTGAACTTCTTTTGTACGAAGTTCGGATTCAATTCCACTTCCACTGGAGCGTGGTACTGAGTTTGGTATTTTAGAAAGACTGTTAAATCTGGAGATAGATCTACAGCAAGGAATGAAACTGCTCTTTTTTAAAATAAACAACTGTTTCCTTCAAGAGCTAAGCGAGTGAAAATGAAGCGTTACTTTTCTATTATTGTTGTGTAAACACAATATTTTCAAAATGATTTAGCAGGAGATGAATAAAAACAAAAATCTCTATGTTAAAAATAAATAAAAATTAGTCGTATTGAACATGAAAGAAAAATGCTCATGTGAATTCTACATTATTGCTCCGTAAAAAGCTTTATTTATAAGTTTTTGAGAATAATTGGAGTTATTGTTTTGGAAGAATCTTTTTGGCAATGCTTCGAACAATTTTTGTCATTCTGTGTTGGTGTCCACTATTGGGCAAGTGCTGTAATGGTTGCTCACGATCCTTGATATCTACTAGCCATTTAGGATGAGTGACTACAGGGAACGTAAGAAAATTCTTCAACCCGTCATTGTCACAGAAGTCCAGACCAGTAGTAACCATGTATGTACTATATTCATTTACTAAACATTCGCATGATTTAGTGTAGACACAAAACATCTCAACGTAGATCAGCGATTCAAGTGGCGATCGTTCGTCTCGACGAATATTCCAATCACGTTGCTTGTCGCTACCGTCTCTCGTCATAAACAAGTCGTGTGTATAGATGGGTGTAGGTGTGGGGTGTGGGGGTGGGTGGTGTGGGTAAAGGGAAGACCAACACCCATCCCCACACTCACACCCACACCCATATCCATATAATTCTACTTGAATTTTCACCAATATGAAGACAGAAAGTTAATATATATCGAAAAAAAAACAGGTTTCACAAAAAAGCTGATTTACTCGTTTTTCACATACTTTTTAAAAAATATGAATTTTTTTGGCAATAAAAGAAATTAAAAAAAAAAATAAATGCTGACCATGGTAGATCATACTCTTATGATTCTAACGAGATAAGAGAGTTGCTTTTATTTCGTGTAGGAAAAAACTAGAAAGGTTTACAATAATGGTCACTGATACATACTTTTAGGTTGATGAACCTATTTATATCATAAGAAAGTTTTTTAGTCTTAATAACTCTACATCTAATCAAATCACATTATTCTACTCCATTTTTTATGCTGACTCAGAATACAGTATTTTTAAAAGTTTCAAAAACAAAACTAAAAGGAATATTTGGCGACTTCTCTAGAAAACATAAATTCAACGAAAAAAAAAGGTGATTTTAAGTCACTGAACCTTTTTAGCGTTTTTCTCTATCAAATATTGATCTAATCGAAATAAAAAATATATATTTTTTCGTAGTCAGTTTTTCTCGCTCTATCAAACCATATATAAATGAATGAAAAAAAAATCACTGAAATTTTTCATTTTTGCCACCTTAATTTTTATTGTAGAAAATAACTTACATTTATATTTCTGCTATAGATTGATTGAAATATCAAAATCACGAGTAAGTTTTATTTTACCAAATAAAATAAATCTATTTATTACAGCAATTATAGATTGATTTCAAGATTAAATTCACGTGGTAAGTTTGATCTTATTAAAAAGTATATAAGTTTATTTTTTTTATTATCGATTCATTCAAAAATTAAAATCAACGGTAAGTTCGAGTTTATTGAATCAAAGAAGTTTATTTATTTTTCATTGTAGATTAATTGCTATATGGAAATTCAAGAGAAATTTATTCCTATAAAATATGGTAAATTATTTATTTTTATTATAGAATTAAGAGTAAGTTTGATCATAGCAAATAAAATTAATATCTTTCTATTATAGAACGACTCAAGCATGAGAGAGGTAAGTTTATAATATATCAAATAACATATATCAATTTCTTGATAATAAGTTGGCTCAAACCTCAAAATGAAGAATAAGTTTTGATTTTATAAAATAGAACAAAATTAGTTTTTTTTCTGTTATAGATTGATTTGTAATGAATCTGTGTTTAGCGGCGTAGCCAATCAAAAGTTTTGTTTAAAATTAAGTCTGATAAATGACTTTCACATTTAACTTAAAATCGTATTTCTGATTAGCTGTATGGCTAAAAGCAGATTCATTGTGAATCATTCTCTACCAAATCTTTTTTTTCAATTTCTAATAATGTTTAGTAGAAAACTATTTGTACGGAACCTTCTTTTTCAGTTTGCTGAAAGGATTTAGTAAGAAATCTGTTGTACAAAACTTTTATTTCAGTTTTCCAGAAATGGTCGGGTACGGAACCTCGCTTTTTTACAAGACTAAAAGCGGTTTTTACTGCGCATTGAGGTGAAAAACCTTTTTTTTATTTTAGAGCATAGATAGTCTTCATTTAAATTGTGCACTATACTCATAAATGTCATTGTCAATGGGCTTGCATTTGATATAAAATTCATCTCTATATCTTTTGTCATTAAACCTATATCTCTGTGACTTTTTTTTGCAGCCCTATACATAAAACTATGAGCAGTATGTGCTACCTTGCTTTCTCTTCTTCTTGTTTCTTCTTTTTGCTTTTCTTGTTCTTTTCTAGTTATTTTTTCTTTACTTTGTGTTTTCTTGCCTTTTCTCTCTTTTTTTGATAAGTCTTTCGAGCTGCAGCATAATGTGCATCACACAGATATAATAAACAAAATAACTAATAGCTGTAACTTAGTAAAAAGGCACAACATGATCCATGATGACAGGCATCTTGCTGCGCAACAGACTGTTGACAGTTCTGTACAGTCAATAATTAATGTCATCGAGGAGTTGGAAAAATTCCCACCACCAAGCCGAGACACTATATTAACTGCTCTCTTGTGATAAATACAGCATATTTTTCTGCAGTTCGTTAGAAGATGAGTGTCTGGTGGATGTTAGCAACACTAATATTGGCTATTGTCGTTGTGCAGTCAGAGTCTGAACATTATACTAAGCTGCAAGGTAAATCAATCTCATTGATTACGCTTTCGGATCGAATCGAAAGACTGGAACGTGGTCTAGTGAATTTGAATGAGCAGGTGAGTATGAATGAAATCAAAAATCTATGAAATATTGTGTCTAATAATGTGACAAAACAAATTTAGGTTAGGTTAATGACACTACGAAGTGGTCCTCCAGGACCAAAGGGCATCAATGGTTTACCCGGCCCTCCAGGATATCCTGGTCTTTCTGGTGCTCCAGGCTTGCCCGGAGAAAAGGGTGACCCTGGTTTACCAGGACTTCCTGGAGCTCCTGGTTTACGAGGATCTCCTGGCGTTGCTGGTATTCCAGGACCAAGGGGCGGCTAGAGTTGAACTGGACCTGTAGAATTAAAGAGTGATCATGGTTTAATTGGACCTCTTGGATTGCATTCATCTTCTGGACCTCCTGGACCTTCTGAGTCTCGTGGACTGTAACATTCACTGCTTATTCTTTATATACCATCTTTTAGTACTCATCCCTTAATTTCATTGATTGTTGTAACACTCTCTGCTCATTTTTTATGTGCCGTCTTGTATTTTTACCCCTCAATTTCATTAATTGTGTATAAATGTACTGTTATCCTTTACTTATTATCAATGTTTTTTCTTTTTCTCTGTAGTAACCATGTATCGATTGTTAAGAATGTATCTTTCAACACGAACAGACATATACGTGTTTCTTTTCCTTTGCTTTTCTTTTCTTTCTATTCTATATACAATTTCTTTCATTCTTCATGATGATTGGATATTGTCATTCTTTCATTTCCTTTGATCTAGCTACTCTGTATTAGTTTCTGTTCTGTCTAGGTCAAACAAACATTGACATTGACCTTGCTCTGTCTATTCTCACCATGTAGTAAAGCCATGGACACATTAGAAGACCTTCCACCCTACATTTAAAGAAGATTAGTTTTCAAAATAACAATGTTAAAAACAGATTTGAAGATCCATTCACTTGCTACAGAAGACCTGCTAGATGGAACTGATGAATCTTCTAGGAGTGGGGTGCGGATCTGTCGATGTGGATGTGTCTTCGTCATTCGCACTCACCCACACCCTTATTATGCTGACGGAATCAGAGATTATTTGTAAAGAAACATTACAGTTTATGATATTGAAAGAAGCAGTAGTATAGGATAACAGCAGTCATTAAGAAATTAATATTACTGTTAGAATTGTCGATTTTCTTTTTTATTTTAAATGTACTTAGGGCATACCAAAAGTAGTGAGAGTGACACTTTAATACCGTATGGTGAACTTAAAGAAACTTTCTTTCTATATAGTCTGATAGAGAAAAAAAGCTCTATCTTTCTATGCTATTTGGTCATACTTCAGCTAATATCATATTAATGAGATTTCGATAAGATCTGTTTTGTTCGCATATGTCACGGTTCTATGAATGCTACTGAGTATTTTTTGAATAACTGTTGATACAAATAAGATAGAGAAGTGTGATCTTCACCATTGGAAAAAGGAGATGAAGATGCATCGAATTGTATATTGTAGATTTTTCTAATATTGACTTCTGAAGTATTTTTATTAAATTTTCTAACAATCGTAAAAATGGTTCTTTTATGAAAAAAAGGAGAAAGCAAAAAACTAAGCTTTCTTCACAGATTTTACTACAAAATCGTATTAGAGGTTTGACAAGAATGCATAATATTTATCTTAGCGTTCCGAACCTTTTAGATCTTGGATTAGTGGCTTGAATTTATACTTGATAATTAGAAATTCATTGTAAAAAAACATACCAGATAGGTTTGTTTTTGAAACGATCAATTGAAAAACTTACAAAAAACAGATTAGGAAAAACTGGGATACATGACTCAATGCATCTTTATCTCCTCTTTCCAACGGTAAAAACCGAAGTACTCTATCTTGTTTTTATCAAAAGTTATTCAAAAAATAGTCACTTGTATTTTTTAAAATGAGTATTAATACAACCAGCACATATGATAACGAAACACATTTTATCGAAATTTTAGTATTATGATATTAGTTGAAGCATCATTAAATCGCATAGAAAGATAGAGCTTTTTTTTCTCTATCAGACTACACAGAAAGAAAGTTTCTTTAAGTGTACTATCTGGTGCTAAAGTGTCACTCTCACTACTTTTGGTATGCCCTATGTAATTATTACTCTGTAAAGAATATCATAGTGAAGTTACTTTCATTTTTCAGAAATATTAATAACGAATAATGAATTTTGCTTATTTTGGCTAGTTTTACTTTTTCTTTATTATTTAGATAAAATCGGTACAATTATATCTATGAGAAAGCAAAAATATTTGAACTTCAACCATTATCAAACGATACTTTTATCAATTGTAATTTTTTATTTGATCGTTCTGTACTTGTATTTATTATTTTCTAAATCGCTTTTATATTTCAATAACAAAAGTTCAAATATAAGA